TGTGAAAAATAGTGAGACAGTCGGAAGCATAGTCTTCAAGTTTCAGCCGCAAAGTAATTGACAGCTCATCTTTTACCGCAGGCAAGTTAACATGATTAAAGACTTTTTGTTCTCGAGCCCCAAAAGTAATGGGCTTTGAAATAAGCTCAGCCCACTCTCTAATTATGAATTTCCCCATTTTCTAGAAGAAACAATAGATTTTTAAAAAATTTCATTTTAATATGTAGTTTCGTTGTAAAAAGATTTGAATACTTACCGTTATTTTAGAAAATTTCTGGTTCATAATTACTGTGAACTCAACCCTTTTATAGATAACAACACCGGGGCGCAGTCCAAAATTTCCGGAATCATGTGATTGATCAACAATTTGTGTAAATTCGATGCGTAACAGTAATACAGTAATAACGATATTATATAATTTTTTTCAAACTTTACTACCTATCAAAATCGATGAAATTTTAATTTTCAATTATGAAAACATGGAATTAAAATAAAAAAATTTTTATCGATTTTAGATAGGTAGTTACCGAGGTATCTTTGTTACAAGTTTGAAACAGCTTAGTCTGTTAATTAGCAAAATGATATCTTATTAACTACTTATCAAAATCGATGAAAATTTTTTTACTTTAATTATATGAATCATAGAACTAAAATAAAAACTTTTGTCAACTAATATCTTGATTAAATTTGATAAAACTTTTTTATTTAAATTCTATAGATCTTAAGCATTTAAATAAAAAATTTATTAAATTTGATCAAGTAATTATTGAATTATTGAGATATACTTGATCAAAGTTTTAGAAAAAATTTATAACTTCTATTAAATAAAACAAAACTTTGATCAAGGATATCTCAACAACTGCTTTATTAAATTTATAAAAAAATGTTCTTTAATTTCTATAAATTTTAAATTTTTAAATAAAAAAATTTTATTAAATTTGATCTACTAGTTGTTAAGATATTTTTAATTAAAATTTTGTTAAAAATTTTGATATAGCTTTTTTTTTATTTGTTAAATATTATAAAAATATCTTAGCAACTACTTGATTAAATTAATTTATAAATTTGTAGAATTTAAAATTCGCAAATAAAAAATTATTTATTATTATTTACTTTTTTAATATCACATTATTTAATTATTTTATATTATGTGATTATATAAAGGTAGTTTTATTTAATTCTATTTAATCACTCCTCTTTATAATCATCAAAAAAATGCTAGACAAAATGGGTGATTATATAGAGATATGATAGCAATAGTGTTTAGATTTTTATTACACTTTCAAAAATTTTTTTTATATATTTAAATTTATTATTTTTTTCTTGAAATTTTTTTTTTGAAAAACTGTTTTCTTTAAAAAATTTTTTCTTTTGAAAAAAAATATGATTGAAAAAAATTTTTTATATTTTTGATAGCAAATTTCAATAAATAAAATATCGCAGAAACCACGCAGTATCTATAGAAATACCACAGAAAATGAGCAGAATTTGTTAATTTTATTTGCAGAATCTGTAATTTAGCATGGACGGAATTGGCCTAATAGCACTGCAAAAAATCATCGTCTCTATATAATAGTTGATTGGCTAGGGTCTTAGAAGGACACCTGATGTCAGTGTTAACAAATTCTGAATTTTGATTAGCCAAATCAGGTGAAAACAATCAAACAATAGGTAGTCGATGTTTATTGGCTAGATTAGGTGTAATATAAAAAAATCAGTACCTTTTTTTATATTTGGGGTGCGTCAATAGAAATCAAGCAAATTTTTTTAATAAATTTTTTCTATAACTTTAAACAAGAATAACTTAACAAAAAACTTGACCAAATTTAATAAAATTTTTTTAAATAATTTTTCCAAATTTGTAAAATCAATTTTAAAAAATAATTTATTAAATTTAATTAAGTTTTTATTGGTTATTCTTATTTAAAGTTTTAAAAAAATTTATTAAGAAATATTTGCTTGATTCCTATTGACTCAGCCCCATTTAGTCCTTCGGACTTTAAATAGTTTCTATTTTCCTAGTTTAACAAAACATGCTGGGTATTTATAAAGGATAACTATATATACAACTTAAATGTAGCATATTGAATTATACTACTGCGCTTCGAATTTTTAAAATGTTTCAGCACCTTCTTATTAATAATTAATAAATTGGTAAATAATTTATTTCGTAAAAATGATTGGCCAAGAGATCAAACTGTATATCAGATATGTATATAAATTCATTTATAAAAAAATAATATATTCATTTGTAACTACTACAGAATCAAATGCTTTGGATAATTGGAATTGATAATAACATAAATTTAATTTAATATCAAAATTGAACCAACAGGCTCATATTGAATTAAATGAATGAGGCTATATTCAATCACAAAGGACTTGCTGAAAAGTCCACAGTTGATTACTTCCGTTATGATTTGGATGCAAACGAACCTCGCAACCATCAACAAGTTTAGCAGTCCAACCATCTAGAACCATAGATTCATTATTATTCGGGTGTACAGCTCGGGCGCCATCATTCTAGTAAAAAATACAATTAACTCGAAAGAATAAGATATGAGAATTTAAGATATTAAACAACATACTTGTTTGCTATCAATTGACCACAAAATATAATTATTGTCAGCTTCTGCAAGATCAACTTGAGTAATTTCCGTCCCTTTTTCTTTGTTTCGATATTTCATGGCCTTGCCAGTTCCTTTGTTTACAAGAACAACATCTTTTATTGGTGAATTATCTGTTACCGATGGATAATCTAGAATAAAACATATATCCTTCAGTTATTATAAACATAGCTACTTCACCAATAGTAAATTAAATCTTAAAGAGTGTTTCACCATCAGAATTATCAATTCGTAGAACTTTCCATTGCGCATTGGTATTGTTCTTAAATGGACGAAGTTTCAGAATTGAAATGGAATTATCATCAACATCAAAACTCAAGCCAAGGTCTGGGTTTCCTTTCGAGACTATATAATAAAATATATCTTCTTCATTTTTACGTAATCCTCTTAGAAGATCTTTTTTCACTTCTTCAGGAGTCAAGCGCCAGTTGAAATAG